AGACAAGGCATTGGCATCAACGGTATTTCGCCGGCTTCTGCTCAGGGCCATAGCATCCCCCCTTTTGCCCAGGATTGCTTCGATCGCGCCTACCAGAGCTTGCGAATCGTAGTACATCTGGCCTTTTGAGCACTTACGACCGTAAAGCTTCAAGCAGTCGATCCCCAGAGAGGCGAGATGATCTCGGTCGACATGTGGGGTGCCTTCTCCAGTTAGGTGAATGACATGGGTCACGTACTTGCGGTAAATCGAGTCTCGAGCACCATCACGCGAGGGGCGGTTTGTGCCGGGGAAAAGGAATTCACCGTGTCGTGCAGCTGCAGGACTTGATGGCGCCGACGTCTTCAATGTGTCGGCTGACCGCGAAGTGTGAAGCTTAGTTCTCGGTAGACGTCCCTGGGACTGTTCGCAAGCACGGGCGATTGCCTCCACGAAGTCAAATGCAGAAAAAGGATTCGAACTCGGGCCTGTCTCGCGATCCAAGGATCCATTCAATATGAGAATCTTATGTCGGGCAGAGGTCGAGCTCAGAGCCTCTCCGACTCCTTTGAGGACAATGGATGGAAGAATTGAAGTGTAGAGGGAGCCGATAGAGTATATAATAGCTTGGGATTGGTTGATGGCCGAGATTACTCGTGGATTGGCCGGGGGTAGCATTTCCTGCCCGTAGGGATTGATGTACCATATTCGCTCTATTCGGGCTGGGAGGTCTTGGTCCAGGTCTTTGCTGAATTTGATGTTTCGCTGCCGTAGCGTCGGGAGAGTCCCGGGCAAATGAGCGTCCTCGATCTCCTCAGAGTGCTCAGAATGGTGGCGGGCACGAAAATCGGACGGAGAATTTGAAGGCGACACTGTCGGCATCTCCAGGGCGGTCTTGGCCGCAGGGTGCGAGATGTTGTTCTGTCCCACTATAATCTCGCCGTTGGCCAGGCCAGCCGCAATGTGATGCGAGAAGTTGGAATTGATGCTGGGTATCACCCGCACTTCCCCGTCGGGGATGGCGCACAGGCTGCTCAACAAGTAGATTGCAGATTCAAAACTGCCACTGAAGAGCCGCGCGCCAGTCAGAAACAGATTGCCGACACTGGCAGACGTGAAGTCGAAAGTGGAAGAAGGCCTCGCTCGCTTCATGATCTCGAGGTTCAGCAGGTTGAGAAACGAGCGGATCAACTCCTTCTTCGCCGACGGGATGCCGTGCCAGAGTTCAGACGTGCCCCAGACTATGCTCTGCCATTGATCCGCCGCGTCCGTCGAAGACGAGGACGACAACCGGTGATTGAACAAGTTGGAGATGGCCGACCGTTCGGTCGAGGGCGGATCGGTGGGGATCAAACGGACCAGTCGACTTCGCACGTCTCCGATTCCCGGTCCTCCAAAGACACGTATCAACTCGGAAGAGGAGCCGCCGTTGTCGCTTATGGGAATGATGTAGGACAGAGGGCAGTCTTTGCTTTCGCGGACGGCTTCAAAGACATCGACGAGAGAGTTGGCAGCGCTGCCGCCGGAGAAGACCACGATGCCCTTGGCGGTTGGCATGGTGGATTTTGCCCTGTAGTCGACTCAAAAGAGCATGTCAAGGGATAGTAAACCCTTTAAGTGCTCGGAGCAGGCATGAATGGTGGGTGATATCAGGGATGAACACTGTGTCCAGGATATCAATTCCGTGTTAGGTGACTCAGCCTTGCGATCTGAAGTTGCGGGCGATAATGCGGAATGGCTGGTCTAGGAAAGATAGCCGACGACTTACTCGACATGGTTAGTGTCGGTTCATATTTGGCAATGGTGCCGAGGCCGCCGTCAAAGCGATAATAATGCGCCTTACAAGGTGTCGATGGGCGAGTTGGTTGATAAAAAAAAAGGAGACTGACTATGATACGCGTTCTCTTTCGGGGAGGTTCACTGTGGACTCTTGTTGGCATGAGACAGTGGTTGAGACCACTCTGTGACCAGGTCAGCGACCTAGATAAGAACGTCATTGTTGGTGCCCACTCAGAACGGCCTAGATCTGCCCATTGGAGGCGCAACCTGCAGCACTTGGAACCACATGCGCCCCTGAGGGATAGCCTGCACCGCCTAAAAGCTTAGACCATGGGGGCGCGTTCGACATGTCATTGGTGCCATTGGCCTCGTCCCCTGTTACCACAAGTTCCCCTCCACCTAACGGCGCCTCTCTCCATCCATCGCGGTATGGGAATTTTATTCTGGGGCGGCGTTTCTTTTCAGCTGATCCTTCAGCACTGCGCTTTATGACCTTGTCGCTCAATTTCACCCCTTTGATCTCACCCTCGTCTCCCTACTTGTGTCGATGCTGAACCTTTCTCTTGTATTCTACCAAATGTCCCGCTCTTGGGAATTTTCCACCCGTACCTCAAAATGGTGACCCATCCTGCCCATGTCGTGGTTTCCTCGAAGCGCACGTCCCTCGAGTCTGTCGGTGAATCCGAAACCTCCTTAGCCCGCCACTCCCGAGAACATGGCCACCGCGGGCGTCACGAGCACGACCTGGAAGCTCAGAACACGGTCGTGGAAAATCACCCGCAACATATCCGCATCCGGGATAACACGGAACACCATCACCACGATGGAGAGGGCGCACCGCATTCGCCGAACCTTCATCGCAGCGAGACCGGGGTCTCCAAATACTCGGTCAGGTCTCTGCGGAGGAGGGGTCGAGCAGAGACCAATGTTTTGTACGGCGCAGGCGAAATGGGCAGAACTACAGGATGGACTCCTGGGCAGGAGCCGGGCATAGACACCAGCGACCCTGCTCCTCCGTACAGTCTGGGTGCCGCAACACCTGCCGATGCTGCGCAAATGGAGAGATTGAACCAACGGTGTGAGATTACGGTGGTGGATTTCAGCAACGAGGCGGTTTCTACGACAGATTTGGACAATGACAACATTGAAGAATTCCTTCAGAAAGGCGCTCCAGAATGGGCTGATGTACGGTGGATCAATGTCAATGGGCTATCTTGGGACGTGATTCGAGTACTGGGAAACCACAAGCATCTTCACCGGCTGGCTATTGAGGATTTGTTCAATACCAAAAATCGCACAAAGGTCGACTGGTACAGTGACCATACCTACATGATCCTTCCCTTGCAGAAGCTCATCAACATCGAGGACAACGAACTCGACTACGATTCGGAAGTCGACGACAAGGAGGACTTGGAATCTGTTGATGCCGAGTCCGAATTTCGGACAAGGATCATCACCGAACGCCAGCGAAGGCAACGGCAGCGGAAGCGGAAGGGTGCCATCCGGTCTTTGATTGAGGATCTGCAAAAGCCCCTGCGGAAGGAGAAGAAGAAAGAGACTCTTAGATCTCCAGATATCATAGGAGACGGAATCCAGCCCTCGAACAGTTTTAGACACTCGAGCAAAGCGGAAACGCCATGGGCACCCAGGACCATTCGCACCATGCAACGCTACCATGCCGGCCCAAACCAAGACCGAATCGAGTACATGGAGCGCCACGCTGTCCTTGGACATAAGGGTATTGGAGTCTCCATGGAACAAGTTTCCATTTTTCTTTGCGCCGACAACACCGTCATCTCCTTCTTTGAGTACTCTGCGCACGATGTACAGACACCTATCATCCGCCGGTTACAGTCTCCTGGCACAATTCTCCGTCAGTGCTCTGATGCCAGTATGCTCTGTCAAGCCATCCTTGACGCGATTATCGACCTGGCTCTTCCCGTAACAACGGCATATCAAGACGCAATCGGAGATTTGGAGCTCGACGTTCTCACCGACCCGGACATTCATCAATCTTCCACCTTGTACATCTTGACCTCGGAAATCGCGATCCTCCGCAACGCCATTGCTCCGGTAGTTCAGCTCATCGGTGCGCTGAAGGATCACAAGACCAGTGCCCAGCCTACGATGATAACTCATTCGCGTATCGCCAGTCCGGCGGCTCTCGACCAACAAAACATCGACCCTATGAACAAGGCTCCGCTTTATCATACCCAAAGCAATAATCTCCGCAAACACTCCAGTGCTCCCCTAATAGTGAGCAGCGTCGAGATTTCTCCGCTCACGGTCACCTACCTGGGAGACGTAGAGGACCATGCTCTCCTGATCCAGGATAGCTACGACCAGATGCGCCGCAACGCTGACAATCTTGTCGACTTGATCTTCAACACCGTGTCGGCGTATCAAAACGAATCTATGAAACAGCTCACCATTGTGACATGCTTTTTTCTTCCTCTGACGTTCTTGACTGGATATTTTGGACAGAACTTTGCGACTTTCCCGGGTGTGACGGAGCATAGCGACGCGTTCTTCTGGGTCATTGCCACGCCCGTGTCGGTGGTGGTGTTTTTGTTATTGATGAGGGACGTCATGGTTCGCTGGCTGGGCCGGTGGGCGAACAAGGCGTTGATCGCCCGGGGCAGGAAAAGGCGGTTGGCGCAGACCGGACAGCAGAGTTGAACCGTCTTCCTCGGTTGCGGGTAAGGGCATTGATTTCATTGGGATGGAGCAATTTACTAGCAGTGTTGTACAGTACAAGCTCGACATCTTTCTGTTTCTTTTGAGCGTGAGGGATCGAGCGAGCGAGCGTTGTTGGAAAGAAACCTTGTACATTTTTGGCTATAATGGAACCAAACCTGGATCGAAACAAAACTTCAACTATAACATGAGCCCCTTCACTTGAGAGGATGCCTAATCAGGCTTAGCTTGACTTCAGCTCCGTTGCGCTTAGATACACCTAGACTACGCCTAGGTAACCAAGAAGAACGAGCGCCTTAAAAAAATGGTCTCTCATGCGAGCCGGGAGCGGGGGTCTATCATTACGCACAGACAAGTCGAAAACTGGCTCACTCGTTGTAGAATCTCGTATTACTTCGAAGCAGGAGGAGAAAGAGAAGGGAGGAGAAGATAGAAGGAGCCAGGATGAGGAAGAGGAGAAAAATAGGGCGCAAGAAGCTAGAAGATACTCATGCACCATCAACTCAGAAGTCACAGACAGCAGAACCTGGTTCAACAGTCAGGGGTTACCAGCAAGTTGGTTGCGGCGGGACCCAGAGATGTTTGATATACTCTGATTCAGCGAAGAGCCTTTCCAGAGACACTTCGTCTGAAGAAGACAAGTTCGCAACGCTGAGATTTTTGTTGACAGGAATCTGGGAAAGTAGAGCTAGTCCAGTTTCCAGGCCCTGCGCTTCATCTCGCTGGTTCTCTTGCATTTTCTCCAGGGAGAATCGAATGTGTGGATGTGTGATTGACGCGCTCAAGTCGATGAGGTAGACTTTAGACTCTAGAGTCTGAACCAAGATATTCGATGCGCGGAGGTCCCCGTGCGCGACTCGGGCGCTATGCAAGGCCTTGAGCTTTGCGCGTATTTGATCTGCAATATCTCGACTTAGTCGGACCCGCCAGAGTGGGTGCCCATCGATCCACTCAAACAGAATACCTGGCATATCTTGGTCGGCCGCTGAAGGAGGTCTGTTCCACGTTAAAGGATGGATTTCAAACTTCCGAGATAAATAGATTTCTGCTCTCGCTGGGATCTTTACCCAACCGTAGCAGAATGGAGTGATCTGGCCGTTGAGGCCTTGTTGGATCAGCGAGCCGTTTGCGCGGCATTCGATGAAGAAAGGGTCGAGGAGGTATCTTCGGTTCGTTCCCCGGAGTCGGGAGACGTTCAACTCTGGATGGTCGAACTTGAACTTTATGCGAGATTTAGAAGGTATCCGAAGGGTTAAAGGGGGTTTCCTCAATGACATCGACTTACAATCTTCAAGACATATTGCTTGTCAGCAATACGTACTTTAAACACGTGGCCGGCGCCTCCTCCGCCCGCGTAGCTCAAGAAGCGGATTTTCCTGTCCTTCTGGTTGAAGCGCTCGAGAAGGAGAGACTCAAAGTTGTGGGGATTTGACGAAGATTGCGGTTGAGGGTCTTTATCTGGGCATGGGGAGTTGTCTGTTTCCATGGGATTTGGGCAATCAATAATCTGGCTACAGTCTGGCGGAGATTAGGAGACGCGTTGGGATGAGGGATACCGATGGTTGTTACACAGTGTAGAAGTGAGGGCGGTGAACGGGCCAACACGTGACCTCATGTGACCAACTCTCAGGATGTTTGGAGGAAGAACGACATAATAATCTGATTCAATACTTTCATTTTCTCTATGGCCACCCCCCGTTCACCTTGAGAATCTGACCGGTAATGTAGCTGGACTGATCACTGAGCAGAAAGACAATGGCGTCGGCCAGTTCCTCGGGCTCACCGAACCTCTTCAGGGGAATCAGCGGATACACCTCCCTGCTCATATCGCCTCGCTCTGCGTCGTCGAACTGCGCCTGAGACAGCGGCGTCCGTACGCCACCAGGCGCTACGAGGTTGACGCGTACACCGTGGGGCGCGAAATCCAATGCCCAGGTCCGCGTCAGGCCTAGCACCGCGTGCTTGCTGGCCACGTAGGCACCCAGAGTTTGGAAGCCGTAGTAGGAGGCGCTGCTTCCGATGTTGACGACCGAACAGGCGCCGCTGTGGCCCGGCACCCATTTCCACGGGTAGGCAGACTTCTCTCCATTCTTTGGCTTCTTGGCCAGAATGTAGCGCAGGAGCTCGGTGCCGACGTTCCAAGTGCCCGTGAGGTTGACGTCGATGGTTTTGTGAAAGGTCTCGTCGTTCTCGAGGATCCCGCCGCTCGACGGACAGATCCCTGCCGAGTTGACCAGGCCGTCAATCTGTGGCGTGCGCGACAGAATGGTCTGAAACGTCTGGCTGACTGAGGGGCGGGAGGAGACGTCAACCGATGGATACGAGAACACCTTGGCCCCGGACGCGGTGTTTCGCTTTGCTGTCGCGTCGATTGACTCGGGGAACGACGCTGCGCGGTCGAGGAGGTGCACTGTCGCCGAGCGGGCCAGGAGTTTGTGTACCGTGGCCAACCCAATGCCCGATGCGGCGCCGGTGACGATGTAGGCTCTGTTGGCGAGAGATGTTGACGCCATTTGAGAAGTCGTATAGCAGGATTCCTAAACAATAGGATCGAGAACAAAACCTAAGAACTCAAAATCAATGTTCGGGTGAAATGGTCAAATGGGATTTTGTGAGTTGCTGGATATCTGGTCTAATAATCAAAACACCTCTCAACTCTAGTCAAATTCCACAGACTAGAGAGACTGTTGTTGTCAAGACAAGGTATTGTACAAATGAGAAATAGAGGATGGACCAAGTCGGGGTTGACACAGGATGTATCCGCGACCGCTGCTCTTGCGTGGGAAGATCCCGATTGACCTAGTCATACCTCGTACAAAGGATATAAATGACAAAGGAGAACATTGGAAGTCCTGGGGGAGATCAAACCTGATCATCACCTCCTCTGCGAGGGGCTGGTACCGTACGAACCACGTTTCAAACTTGCGAGTAAATCGACGGGTAACCAAAAAAACCGAGACCCAGATTAGATGTGGGTCTTCATTGATATAATATACATTGTCATCGCCGTGACTGCCAGAAAGTCCAGGGCCCCATGTGGATTCTCTTCCACCAGGGAAGGGGTTTCGACCTCGTTATGTGTCAACACTTTCGTTTGTCATCAGTTTTGAAAACCTACTTGACTTGGCCCCACAGAGGCCTTGCCCAATCACGCTTAATCTCAGCAAGGTACGTGACTAACTTGTTCGGGATATCAGTCTATCGTTCTTGGCAATACTGGTCTCTGAATCCTGGAGTGGAGAAAGATATTTCTTCACCCCTGGGACGGTGGCACGGGGTGTGGATGCTGTGTATTTGATGTTGATGTTCCGCAGCCAGAAGTGTCATTGTTCGTGTAAGTCAAGTACCCTGTGCTAACTGTCCTAAAGGAAAATTACGCAACAAAATACAACCATGAATGGCGTGATCCACACGTGTCCATGACAATGTGAGTGCGTTACTGCAAATCGTGGACATCAATATTCTGGAAAAGCCAGCGGGGTAAAATTTCTTGCCACCGTCATCGTTGCCGCCGTTCAATCCATTAATTTTCGTTGCAACTTTGCAGGTATCCACGTAGAAAGTTGAATTGTGTTGTGACTAAGTTTACAAGGACATGAAAAAGACTACCTAAATGCCCACTTTGAATAGGTACAGGGTCAGATACTGCGACATTAGAGCCTCGTTCTGTCACTACTTATTGCGTACCTAATCGAGTCCTTTTTGTGCAAAACCCATCTTCCCTGCCGCTCAGTGCGTTAAGACACACTCTTACTCCGAGCTTGTTGGTGCAACAATCTTTTCTAGAACTGCCCGGTAGTGTTCTGCCCCAGCTATACCGATCTCTCCAGTGCCTTTTGGTATATCTGCATCGTCTGCTCCGTCATTTCGATTGGCCCATCAGGGGGGGCTGTGGGAATGCGGCACGAGCGACCTTGGGCCACGACATTCTCGTACCCGTCAAACTTGAGCTCGGGGTACTTGTCGAAGAGGGTGCGGTCGAACCGCCACGATCGACTCGCGTAGAGACGGATGTCGTGTGAGAGTTTGAGGACCGATGCCGGGGTCGTGAAGATATCGACGAGGTTGAACGGTTTGCCACCACCCGAATGCGAAGCTGAGGTCGATGATGAGGAGGCAGCGGCATAGTCGTAATCGTCTTCCTTCCCGGAGACACCCCCGGCTGGTGGTGAGCCAGCGTGCTCACTCAGCGCAAACTCGGCATATATACCACACGGATCGTCGTCGACATTGAGCATGCCCTCATCGGCCGACTGGTTAGCATAGTCTGCCGTGGCAGGCGCCGAACCGGGCGACCGGCCCGGCTTGCTGCGGCGGCTGTTGTTGTTTTGGTTTTCAAAGGCCACGTCGATGGCGCGGAAGATGTTCCATATTCCAAAGTAAGCCCGGCCGCGTGGAGCCTGGGGCAGGATCTGAGCGAGGTCCGGCACCTCGATCACGTACGAGTTCATCATGTCGCACAGCAGTCTGTCCAGGACCACCGATTGGTTGTAGTACATGATGATCTTGTCTCGCAGCTCCGAATACGGAACCCAGTCGATCACGGCCGAATGCGGGACAGAAAGTTGTAGCTCGGTTGGTTTGTAGTTTGCCCCGAGCAGGTTATACGTGTCGTACGAGGGACAGATGCGCCACAGCAGGATCGGTCCGATGATTTGAGGCACTTGAGACTTGAACCACACCGAGTAGGACGACGGCCAGGCATTTTGGACAAACAGAGACATGATAGTCGAGCACGAGCGGATCAGCCTGGGAAGATGGGAATTAGTCTTGACTCTGCAAGCAACACTGCGCTTCCACCTCTCAAAGGGAGGGAAGAGGGAAAGGGAGAGGAGAAAAGAAAGAAAATCGAGAAGTCTCTTACTTTTCCCTGCTCGATCCATCTGGGGCAGCATCGATCCGGCAGCGGACTTGGAGCTCCAGAGTCTCCATATGTCTTGCAAAGGCAGAGGAAGGATTGTTTGGGGATAAATCCCCGCCAAACCATGGTGGGAAGTGGCCAGCAGGAAGGCTGAGGTTGGTCTGCCCAGGAACACTTTGGAGGAGCGGATCAGGACCATGCTGCTGATGCTGATGCTCCTGGTGCTGTCCTGCTTGCTGCAGCGATGCTCTCTGATGGACGGGGAGGTCTGGGTGACCCGGCGCAGCGGTATGCGTATGCAATGTCTGGCCGGCAACCTGCTGAGCAGTGTCAAAACTTGCCGTGGCACTGGCGCCAACAGCGGCAGGAGATGTCATCCTTGTCGCTGCGCGTGGTGAGGCAAAGGTCGTGCCATAGACTTGGAATCCTATAGGTCCCATGGGTTGTGAGTAGAATTCAAGGCTGTTAGGGTCACCAACACCCCACTCGGGGCTTGCCGCCTGCACTGTTGCATTGGGAAGACTTCCGTTATGATTGACAAAGTGATGAGAAGGGTGTTGTTCCCCTTGGTGTGTCCCGGTTTCGGGCTGCAGGTCATCTGCCGAGCTTGGAGAAGGGTTCAATACTGGAACGTTGTCGTTTGACGTTTCGTCTGGTGGGCGAGTTTCACGCCCTGTGTCTGTTCTCTGGGAAGCTTCAGACCGAGATAAACGCTCGTTGTCATGCTCTGTGTGGTGGGGTTGCAGGTTCAGCTCGGTTAATTCTGGATACTCTGCATACTCGTCCGAGAGGTTGCCAGGGTTCAAGCATCCGGGACTGGAGCTTTCTTCTTCGTAGGCTAGATTACTCAATGGCGACGACATGGGATTGGTGTCTTGGAGCTCGGGAGTAGAGTCCGAGTCTTCCAGCCCCTTGACGTGAAGGATCTTGCCGACCTCGGTGCCTACGGCGTGTAGCGAACATGATAGCTTCAAAATCTGCGCCCGCATCTTTAACGTGGCTGTTCGCAGGTCTGCGAGCTCCTTTGACAGAGCCTTGTTCCGTGCGCTTTCCGTCTGAGTGCTCGCCTTGGATGCTTTCTCGAGGCTCTTGATGTACAGAGACTTGCGCTCCCGAAAGTGGCGTTGGGACAGACGATTCCGGATTCTCCTGCAGATGGTAAAAAAAAAATAACCTCAGGTCAGTACATGTCGTGACCGCTGAAATGGTGACCAAGAATTAATTGACTGGTTGCAAGGGCTGTCCACCTTTTGGAGGCTTCATCCATGTCATCCCATCCCTCGAATGTCGCCGCCGCTTCCACCTCGACTGGTTGGTTTTCTTTTCTTCGCCTCGGCATCTTTTCGTTAGACGATGGCTTACGTGATTGGAATGCAGAGACAAATCGTGAGATATATATATATATATATACGAGCTTCGAGTAAAGAAGAGAATCGGTAAAGTCAAGCAAGACGAGGGGGGCAAGATGGTGTGGAAGCGAGGAAGCAATCAAACAAACAGAGAATCGGCCAGAAAAAAAGTCCCCACGATGTTTCTTCGGCAGAATCTGGGGACCCCGTGGATCAACAATCAATTCCTCGTTCCGGCGTCCGACTAGTCTTCCCTCGGTTTACCCCTCAAGTGGCCGAGCTGCTCGATCTGCCAATCACTCGGATTGGGCTTTGCTGGGCGGCGAGAATCGTGTCAGAAATGGGTCTTGACACGATTCAAGCAAGTTCTAAACCTAATTGGGGATCAAGAGGATCAAGAGGATCAAGAGGATCAAGAGCTGTTATCTTGGCCCTCTGATGACCTCCCTCCCGTTGTACAAGCCAGGTCTAGCCACGGATCAGTCTAAGAGACCTGGATCTCGTTGAGCAAATTCCCTCACCATGGTACCCCCAAATATACTAAGATTGTGCCACCCATTCCAGCATCCAAGGCCACTCTCCAGCTCCTTGAATCCTACTCAGTTGGCCGCACACTTTCCTCTTCATGTGATGCGACGTGATGCGTCTTCACATCTTCCCCAATATCCTTCTTTTCCACGTCGACCGTCAACTCGGGCCTGACCCCCCCTCGGCCATAAATCTGCTTAGGTGTGTGACCTGTCATATAGCGGTCGTAGTCCTTCATATACAGCGCCGCGAGAACGGCCACGCCGCCGACAGCCAGGGCGGCGTAGTAGACGTAGGCAAATGCGTCGGCATAAGCATCTTCGGCGGCACGAGCGACAGCAACTTGTATCTCTATGGTGATTCCCGGGACGCTGGCCAGTGCCTCGGCGGACTGAGTCTGAATCGCCTGAAAGAGTTGCACGAGCGAGGACTGGGGGAGACCGGCCTGGAGGGCGGCGCGCGTCACGTACGCACCGACCTTGGCGGTGGCTTTGGAATTGAGGATCGCCACGAAGACGGCCGTGAAGACGGCGCCCGAAATCGACCGCAGACCGGATAGCACAGCTGAGCACAAGAATTTTGTCAGGCTAATGAAGACGAGGAACAGTCATGACGGTTAGACAAACATACCATAGACCATGCCAACATCTGCGTCCTGAGCATCAAGCTGGACCATAATTGTCGTACCTGTTTCCAGCCATCCTATCGGGAATGCGGTGAGAAATGCGAACGCAATGGCCTGGCTCTTCTGAGAGCGGTTGACCTGAGAAAGGGCGGCGGTAAAGGCGAGGCTGAATATGAGAAGTACCAAGACCTGGCGGCGCAGATGCTTGATGACGGACACCAAGGGAAATAGAATCATAATTCCACCCCAGATTCCCCATCCTATTGCTGTCTATGTGAAGGTCAGCTTGAAAGAACGATTCCCGGAGCTCAAAACAAAGAGATGGAAAGGGTGGTGTGCGGCGGTCGTACACTCATCCAAGCCGAAGTCTGCCAGTCTCGATTCTCAGAGCCATAGACCAGGACGACCTCTGTAAAACAGACCCGAAAAGTCTTGATGTTAGCCAGTGAACTTGCTCTTATTTGCTAGTGTAATTGCCGAGATGTTGTCCACTTACGTTGAGGCCAAATGACATTCAGGGCGATGTACATGGCTCCCGCGGCCATGGAGACAATGTTCAGACAAACGTAGCCTCGTATATCTTTGAACAGAGTCATGTCGACAATCGGGTTGGGGCTCGGTGTGTATACCTCGTATATGACGAAAATGATGAGTGTGACTCCTCCAGTAATTAGTAGGCCGAGGATGCGCCCTGATGTCCACGGCTGAGGGTTGCCGCCCCAGGAAACTCCGAGGATGAATAGAGTGAGGCCCGCAACGAGCAGAAAGAGACCAAAATGGTCCATGCGCTTGAATTCTCGCCGTCGAGAGCGATGACCACCGTGGAGTTGATCAAAGGTCGGGGGGTGGTAGACCAGGATCTGGATAATCCAACCGGAGCCTGTGCGAGAGGAGGTCAGAAGATCGTATTCGCCTGGCACCTTTCAAGAGCAGCTGCGGTCGAGAGGCGTAGGGGTAGAGGACGATCAGCCACTCGACATATGCTGCTCTGGCCTCTGTATCCTTTTCACTCACCAACCAAGATAAGGTAAATATAGTAGATCCAGCGCCAGCTTCTCGTCTCGACAAGTGCACGAGCGATATATGCTGCCAATCCGGTGGATGTGACCATGGGGATCAGCATCATGAACACGGCCAGAAACTTATATCGGTGAGGTAACAGCTCTATCGATGAGTCGATCAGCAAATCTTTCAACAGAGCCAAGGCCGCAAATGGGTTGATATTCTTTACCTCCAGTAAAGAGGCTCTGCGAAGAATGAACCCCAGATGCGAGACCAATGATAACCTGTAGATATCAAGACGTGTCAGAGCAAATAATGTGACAACGGGGAAGAAGAGAGACACACGTTCGCCCCGATCAGGGTGTTCATATTCTTTGCCGTGCAGGCCACGATCCCTCCGATTATCGCGAGTGCTCCAGCACCGAGCACAAAATTACGTCGTCCAAACTTATCCGAAACACGTCCTGTGATCAACAAGCTGATGGCGTTGCACAATGTCCATACGATGGAAAAGAGGCTCATGTCAGTGCTCGGGCCTGTGGCTTTGTGTCAGACTCTATCTTCAGAAAAGGTTCAAACGGGGAATGAGCAAGGCAATTCACGCACCGATGTCTAGATTGATGAATGTCAGGACCGACGCAGGAACGGCAAAGCCAAAATACGACGAGACCACGGTCAGAGACATTGAGACCATGGTGCCGACCAAGGGAATGCTGGTGAAGTATTCTCGTGGCAACTCCTCCACCTCCTTGGCTAGGAGGTTTGCGATCCTGATGTCCTCCTGATATTCCTCATCATGTCGATCGCGAGGTTTGGCAAGATGGAGAGCATGGTGGTGGTGGTGACCATCGTCAGGATGATGATGTACCTCAGATTCGCTGATTGTATCAGCCATGACGGGACCAAAAAGCCAGTGGGCTCAAGTTGTATACAGCGAAAACGGGTGAATTATTGTTCGACATTCTCTCCATCCCTAGCCCAACAGGCAAATATATCTATACATATGTCGTACAAGACTCTACCCAACATTCTGGCCCAACTATCTACGAGTCGAGTCCTGACTAGTCTGCAAACGGACAAACATCAACCATATTACCGGAACTCTGTCATTTCTCTGTCATTCTTTATGTGGTTCAATCATGACAAATGCTACCGCCCTCCTGATTTTTCTGTCGGTATCCGTGTCAACATCCTCCAGGTGAATGCCCCACATACCCCGGAGAATGATCCGACTCGAGTCAGGCCAAGGCCGGGGTAGCGGAACAAGGACTTGCATATGAGGATAATTGGGCCAGGGCCAAATAAGGCAAGGCGGCGTGGGGTTTGTTGTTTGACAAAACACAGGGACAGTCAGAGAATGGGCAGGTACTTCACGCTAGCATGTCTTGGGCACAGATTTGTCTGCAATACGAGATGTCTGAATGAGTGCCTGAACTATGGCTTCTTGAAGAAATTGGTCCAAGTTCTACTTTGAGAATGTTCCCTTCCGTGCTGTTCATCATTCGATATGACGAGGCATTATTACTGTCACATGGTCGAGGCTGGTTTACCTTCCCTACCAGGACGGCTTACCCACTAATTATTACTTAGCTAGATATAGCCTGATTCAAGTTAATACGACTCTCTGGGCTGGTATGGCCCAGTTTTCTTGCTCCGATCCCAATAGGTATGGTCAAACCACACAGCCATGTAGATAAATCCAATCGAGTATGCCGATAATGGAGGTCTCAGCTTCTTCGCTTTCCGATCCCAATCAGTATAGTGGAACCAGAAAACTACATAGATAAAAATCCCAGCCTTTTCGCGCCTTCTCTGATCCATCCGTAACAAAGACCCATCACCCACACAATATCTCCTAGTGAAGGGAAACCAATGGAATCGCTGACTGGCAAGACTTACATTGTGACGGGGGCTGGATCTGGCATCGGACTGGAGACGGTTCGAAAGCTGGTCAATGCCTCGGCCGTCGTCCATGCAGTCGACTTGGTCGCCACCCCTCCCCCCGACTACAAGGAGTGGCAGCAGCAGCAGCAGCAGCAGCAGCGACAGCAAGGGCAGGTACACTTCCACGGGTCCGTAGACGTCAGCTCCCGCGTCGCCGTGACGAAGCTGTACGATGCCATCCGGGCAATCTCTCCCCGCATCGACGGACTGGTGAACAGCGCCGGTGTCTGTCCAGGCGGCGATGGGTACTTGCAGAGCGACGAGACCTACGACCTGACCATGCGTGTCAACGTGACAGGGACATGGAACGTCACGACGGCTCTCCTGGCCGTTGTGGACCAAGAGTCGCCCAACAGGGGCCGAGACGGTCCAGCCCCGGCCACCACGCGCGCCAGCATCGTGAACCTGGGCTCCAGCGCGTCTTTGTGCCCTTGGCCCACGCTCGCCGCATACACGGCCAGCAAGCACGCCGTGCTCGGGCTCACGCGGTCTTGGAGCCACGACTGGGCGCACAAGGGCGTGCGTGTCAACATGGTCGCCCCGGGAGGCACGGACACGCCGCTGGCTAGGGCACAGCTGGCCGACGGGGCAGGAAGGGGAGAGGCGCTCACGGCAGGGCTGGCCCTCATCCCGCTCGGACGACTGGGTCGTCCCGAAGAACAGGCCGACGCCATCGTCTTCCTGCTGAGTGACGCGGCGTCGTACATTACTGGCCAAGTTTTGCCCGTCAACGGTGGCTTTCCCTGATTTATGTCAGTTTGGACAGAGTCATGACTGCAGTGGCAAAGGAGAGGACTTGTACAGCGGATTCATACACGTGCCGGGACTTATTAAACACCTATGGACATCAAAATAGCATGTGCAACTCATGAAGGTGGACAGATGAATAAACAGAAGAATTGTCCGGAGTAGAAACATTGTCACGTAAATGAGTTCGATAAGCTAATATATGTGCTAGAGGACATGTACACCGTCTCTGTAATCCTCGCGATATCAGTCTGCTATCCTTCCGCGCGTCCTCATGGGGAGAGATCATCTTTTGAAGGTGTCGACCTTTTGAGATAAATCCAAAGTCAATACTGTCTTGCTTCTTCAATTCGCAGACACCTGCTGCTGCAAAAAGACTGCCGTGGTGGCCCTCTCCTGTTCCAAGTCGCGATTGCGGGCATTTTCTTCCTCGAATCTCAACCTCTCTTTTTCCCCCTCTTCGTATTTTTGCTGCTCCTTCTTTCTTCTCTTCTCTTCGGCGATCTCAATCGGATTCTCAACAGGGACATACGAGTCGAGATACTCGGTGGTGCCCTCCATCTCGATCTGGCGCCGGGAGAGGCCGTTGCCGAGCCATTCAAACAGCTCGCCCTTGACCTCCGGGCGCAGTTCGAAGTCGAAGTCCTCCCAGCGCGGGTTTTCAAACACAAAACTCCCGTGCAGTTGAGAGCCCGGCCAGATGGCCAGGAGACGGCCCTCGGGGCTGTTCTTGTGTCTCCACCACGCGCGGCACTGGTTTGTGGCACTGTCAGAAAGCAGTCACACATTATCGAACACACGGACAGTTTTAATTTACTCACATTGGCCGCGAAGATGGTGGGCTTGAAGTACCGATCGGCATATCTGCCGAATGATTTGATGGCCTCTCTCCTGAACGTAGGAAAAGTGGAGTGGTTTCACGGTTAGCACACGCCTTGATCTCTAGAAATGACAAGAAAAAAACCGAAGATACAAGGGATTCTGGGGAAGACGTACTTGGGAAGCATGCTCTTGTACCACTCTCGCTGGAGTTTTTGGATGCACTTGATCATGTACTTGGCCTCGTTTTCCAAGAACGGCACCGCGGACCCCAGCCCTGGTCCGCCGTTGGGGCCCAAGAAAATGAAGTAGTTGGGCATGTTCTCGGGTGCCATGGACAGATATGCTTCAGGAATGTCGTCCCATTGGTCCCGGAGTTGGGCACCACCCTTGCCAATCACCGGGAAATGCACCTTGTAGACACCGTCAAAGCCGGTCGCGCAGATTATCGTGTCGACAGGCCTCTTGGTCCCGTCATCGGTTTCAATCCCATCACTATACACCTGCTTGATCGGGGTTGAAACGAAAGACACGTTGTCCTCGACCAGCGCCTCGAGGTACCCCGGCCCGGGGGTCAAGCGACGACAGCCCGGCGGGAAGTCGGGCACCAACTGCTCGTAGATCTCTGGTTTCTTGGCCAATTTGGTCTTCATGTGCTCCTTGCAAAAGTCCCAGAGGACCTGCATCCCCTCGGTGTTTTGGTAGAGGGCCTCGACGGGCCGATGGAGGATGTTTTCAATCTGTTTCCGGTACTCGATGTACTCCTCTGGGTTCTTCTTGAACCGCTCGAGATCCGCAGCGGGCGTTATTGCTGTGAGGAAAGCAAGTATATATTTGTCAGCGCTCAAGACGTCCCGGCATATTGAAGCTTTCCAAGAGAGGCAAAAAAAGAAGGGGGGGGGGGGATAATTGTCGACGTGGGTAACCTACGGTCACCATTTCTTTCCATGAGGCCTTCGCCACCAATCCCAGCTGGTGGGATCCACGTCTTGCCTTTCATGTAATGATCAACATGGGCCGCTTTGGGCTGGATCTTAGGGAGGATCTGGATGCCGCTGGACCCCCCTCCGATCAACGCCACCCGTTTGCCGGTGAGATCGTAGCTGGGATCATAATGGGCGGAATGGAACATGTCGCCCTTGAAGTCTTGTAGTCCTGGGATGGCCGGCCACTTCCATTGGTTCAGGATGCCGACCGCAGAGCAAACCACGTCGGCTGAATCCACAAACTCCTACACGTCACGGGTTTTTGGAAGGTCAGAAATGCCCCCGGTTCCTGTTGAAAAAAGAAAAAGAGAAAGAGTGAAAGAGAAAAGAAAACAAGGCTGGGTTAGAAATTTTGCAGATATGCAGTGTCATCCGCCTACTTACCTGTCCTGTCTCTGCATCCTTGAGCCTCACGTACCATTTGCCCTCGTGGTCGTTCCACTCGGCGCTCACCACCTCTTTCTTGAACTTCATGTATTTCAGTGCGTCATACTTGGTGGCCACGCGCTTGAGGTAAGCCTCGATCTCGGCGCCGGGGGCATAGTAGCTGCTCCACTCTGGATTGTGTTCGAAGGTGAAACTGTAGGCGTGCGAGGGAATGTCGCACGCGATGCCCGGGTAGTTGTTCTCGAACCACGTGCCCCCTAGGTCGGCGTTCTTCTCGTAGATGGTCAAGGTCAGGTTCTCGATGGCCCGTGGGAAGAAGATGCCGGCGATGATGCCCGACATGCCCGCTCCGATCACAATCACCTTCATGGGCCGCGGCTTGTCGACCGGACGGGTTGCGAAATCCAAGGGGTCGACGTTGTCGAAGAACCCTGGCCCGCCCTTCATCTGTTTCTTAAAGGCATACATCTTTTCCCTCCACTTCGTGCCCTGGGTGTGAGAGAGAGGATGTACGTGTATATGTGTGGTCCGATGCGGTTTGGTGTTTGGTATTTGAAAGGGAAGGTATCTTGTAACTCTGCGCCACTGCTGCTTGCTATGCAATGTACATATACCCTCTTCCATAGGTAGAACTACTTGTTATGTGTTCCCCCTCTCTGCACCGTCGTCGAATGGACCCACACTTGACCGACAATAGATCCACTAAGGCTTTACATGCGAAGGCACAGCTCGCCACTGTGCCGAAGTACATGTCACATAAAGCGGGGTCTGGGGCGAGGGAGCGGTATATATGTAATCGTTCGATGACTTTGAACATTCTCCAATCAACAGTCTAGAACCATGATCCTCGCTGCCGCCGTGTATATCTAACCGAAAACTGTGTAGGTATGTTTGTCATTGTCGGAGAGGTTCCATGACTAAAGAAAATACGGGGTTTGTTCGTTGGAGAGACCTGTCAGTTCTCTCTCTATCTGTTACTTTGTGTAATGGGTCTAGTTGACCCTTGGCGACATCCTGGGTATACACTTGGACACGTCAAAGCGCTCGCTCACGATAGTTCCGGTGATCAAAGAATCACTTCACACGAGGAATTCGAGGCCTCTTTATTGGTTCAAGCATCGGTGATGAGAAGTCACTATTCTCATTTGGATAGTTCATCTATAGAGCGTTGGTCCAGCATCAGCATCATCACGTCTGGTGATGGTCAAGGTCTCAACCTCCCTTTCCAAAAGCCTTGTAGACCTGCTCCTCGAAATTAACGTTGAATTTTCCCGCAATGGCATCACCAGGCGGCATGATTTGCAGGAATGCCGTCGCCGCGATCCCTGTTTTCCGGTCGATCCACTGTGTCAAAAGCAGGATCGGCATCGTTAGTAAACAGATTGATTGATAGAACGTGGGAAGATATGGGGACAAGAATAAAGGGGCTGGAGAACTCGTACCCAGATCAAATTCGGCGCGCCCGACCACTGCAAAGTCCCGGCAGCTCGACGACCGGGAAAGGCCTCGAGGTTGATCAGCCCGGACAGGCCGTGGTCGATCTTCGCGTCCGGAGGGATAGAGGGACCAAGGACAGGCTTATAGGGTCCCTTTACCATGTCATCCAAAGCCTGTGGGTGCAGCATTTGGGGAGAAAACATCTCATCGACGCTCTTGGAGGACAGGATGGGCCCTCCACCATCAAGCAGCGCCGACAGCATTTTGATGTAGTCATTCGCGCTGCCCCAGACTCCGTGGCCGCCCATCTCCACGGGACTTCCTTTGGGGACGGGAATATCTTTGGCAATGGCCTGGCCGGTCTCTTGTCGTTCGAAGCCTTGGACGATCTCGTTGGGGGGGAACTTCAGCGGGTGGAAGGTCGTGTGGGTCATGCCCAATGGCTCCCAGATGTTTTTGCGGTAGTAGTCCTCGAGCGTGGTCTTGTTGAGTCTCGCGACCTGTCACCGTGACATTCGCAGTCAGCAATCTGGAAGCCGTGACCACCCACCCTGTTACCGGTTGCTGGTTGAGACATACCACCTCAGCGGCCCAGTCAATCCCAGCTCCGTAGGTCCAGCTTGTTCCCGGCTCAAAGGCCAGGGGCACCGTCTTCATGGGGATCTGTCCTCTCATTCCATCAGCTTCTCCTTCTCCTGTACGCAACCCATCCCGTAGTCCAACGGGCTGTGAAGAAATTTACCCCCGTGTTGTCCAGAGTCGTGTATTTCAACCCGGTTGCCTTGGCCCATTTGGCCAGGGAAAATGGCATAATGTCGTAGCCGAGACCACTTTGGTGGGATAAGAGCAATCTGAACCCGTCCACCACTCAGGGCGCGAATCAGTTTAGACTGAACTGGCAAAGACGACATGACTACCATTGGGGGTTTGTTCGAGAAACCAACCTCAGGGTGATTTTGTTCTGCCGGGGCTTGGTCGTGGGGACTCCCTTGTCATCCTCGCCGCCATCAAGGACCTCCAGAGCAGCCAGTTCGGGTACATGAGGCGCAATATCGTCGTCGAGTCCAATGAGGCCTCTCTCCACCGTCTGCATCGCCGCGACCGCGCACATCAACTTGGACTGAGAAGCCAGCCAGAAGAGGTGATCGCCTGTCAGGGGCTGATCGGGCGCCGAACCCACCCCGCTGACATGTTGATACAGGATTCTTCCTTTGCAACATCAGGTAGATTCTCAGCGTCCAGAGCACTTCCATTTCAAGGAGTGGGCGTATGTCACAACCATATGGCCCGGGAAAATGCTCACCTCCTCTCCCAACGACGGTGCCAATGATCGAACCCGTCACGAAGTCACCGTCCTGCTGGTTCGTAGCCCGATCGATCAATTCCGTGATCCCCGACATTTTTCTGAGCGATGAATGTACGAGTCGGTCAGGGTTACCGTCTTCCAAGGCAGCTCTCTCCCTTTGTTTTTATTTTGGTGAGAGGGGCCTTCGTCTTTGCTCGCTAACCCACGTGATTGTTGTAAACCTACCGAGTATTCGATGACCAACAATCTTATTAGCAATGGAATAACAGGCAGAAACGCCGCAATCAATCTTGGTTTGCCTGGTGAACTTATGCTATCTTGGTTCTCTCGTGATTTGTTATTCTTCCCGTCCGGTCTGCCTTCAAGGAGACGAAGAGGAGTCTACTAGCGTCGGAAAGACCGTACACACCCAGGTGAGTGTGCCATATCTCCCCTTCCAAGAGAGCGCTTCTGGCCCATTCGAATGGTGGCCATGCAATCTTCTACGACATACAGTCGAGCCAACTCCTTGTGCGACTACTTGAGGTCCGCGGCTGTCCAATTTTCTTTGAAGAACTCCTCTGTGTAGTTCCCCCATTGATCAAGCTCTTTCGCAGTGTCTTGGTATAGCTTTCGGATAATATCGACCTTGTCCTCGCTCCGAGGCTTGATGGTACATCTGAGCATTTTTCCAAATCTGATTAGCCCATGTTTGATATTTGTGCCGACTCCAACCTCGAGATCTGACCGGGGGCTCTGATGTACTGAGGTAGAGAGTGTGTTGTACTTACTGGAACGGAGCAGGTCCGACCACCAAACCCTCGGTCAGCGCATCTCTCTCAACGGGGATTGGCGCCCCTTGCGCGTCGAGCTTGTGGTGGAATTCAAAAGCCCAGAGCAGCCGGGCCATAGTTATGAATAATGTGCGATCCGCGACATGGGAGCCCGGGCAGACCCTTCGTCCAGCGCCGAAGGTGAGGTGTGGCCTCTTTTCGTAGTTCTGGGTGATGGAATAGGCGTCCATGCCAGACTCCTCTTCCGGGAACCGCTCGGGGTTGAAGTCGCGTGGGTTGTCGTATCTTGTCGGGTCGTTGTTGATAGTCCAAACCTGGCCAGAGAGCATCGTCAGATTATTTCTCTCCAAGAAGCATTCTCTCTCCAATGCAACGTGTTGCCGCTTGACTGCTCACACTTACACAGTTCATCAGTCCTGTTCCGGCAGGGATCGAATAACCCATGTAGACATCATCTTTCATCGAAGCATGAGGCATCGGCCCGCCCGTGAGTGTCGTGGGCTGCCCTACTCGCCTGTCAGACGAGGCTATGTGCACACTGGGCAGCCGAAACCGTCGACGCCCCGTGTCTCGTGCATTCAGAGTAATACTCACAGCGTAGTGTCTCCTCCACACATCGTCTTAGATATGGCATGTTTCCACGGTCGGTCCATTCAGGTAGTCGTGTCGCACCCACTACCGAGTCAATCTCGGTCCGCGCTCGACTCTGGACTTCGGGAAACAGCACCATTGCCTGTAGGAAGGGTCAGCGCTAACACAGAGGTAGGCATCAGATCGACGTCTCCCGATCCGCGGGTGATCTCGGCATACCTTGACAAAGCCCAAGAGGGTGTTTGATTGCGTATCTCTGAGATAGATGCTGTCAGTAGGTGATGGCTACCAAACAGGGAAGTGGGTCAGGACAAGAATGTTATACACACGTTGCGGCGGCCCAGGCATGACCGGAGTTATACCACAGTTCACGCTCGCTCAATTGGTCCTTGCCTTTCTCGTTGGACAGTATCATGTCACGACACAAGCCTGGGAGGTTTGGCAAGGGGGCCACCATCGTCAGCAAGCCAGTAAGGACAAGAACAGGGTGTTCGCAACGCAACCAGCAGACGATGGAAAACTGGTTGGAACTGCGCAGATTTGTGCGTTCTTACTTGGATAATAACGTCCTTTCTGGATGTGATCCCTGGTTTCATCGACGAGGGTCTTCCACAGCCCCACCTCCATTCTCTCCAACTCTCCTAGGTATCTCTTAAGTGGGTTAATCCGATATGGCACGGCTCGGATGATGGGTCGGAGGACCGGCCACCAGTCGGCCAACTGAAGGGAAGCTCCTGCGATGACTGCCCGGCGGAACCACTGCAAGATCTCCATGTTAGATACATCTCACATGTTGCCTATTCCTCGTGAGCATACTCACCTCCGTCAAGATTTTGACTTCTCGGATGTCAGCCGACGGGAATCGCTTGCCATATGCAATCGTCGCCCCGATGCTGATCGTAAATCGTTCAAAGTGGTGTCGAAAGTCATCCGGCGTCTCGAGCAAGTCGTGGAGCAGCTGAGCCGTCTCGAAATACTTTGGCTTGTCAGTATAGCTAGCACACGGCACTTTGGTCCTTCTCAACTCAATCCGGTCGATCCCGATAGACGTTGAGAAGCACCCCTGGGACTGTCGCCCTACCTGATATGGAAGATAGTTGTTGGCCAACTTAGAATTCAGACGCACGTGGTAGACTTTTCGTTGCCTTTTCCATACATCATCGTATCTGTATCGCACCAGTGGGACACAAGTGAGCTCATGGTCTTCATTTGGTATTTGGGGGGCCATGCATGGGATTCCTGGGACGTACGGTCGAAAGAATATGTTTAGATCATTTCCATATTCGCGAAACAGAATGTCCATTCGAGTTGAATTGTTCGCACTCCTCTTTTCCAACAGATCATGCACCGCGCTTGCTGAGCCGAGGAGGATGATGCGCTGGGTTCCCAGTTGAAGTCCCACGAGAGGCCCATCTGGTCACGCAGCCACGTTAGCCCCTTGTCAATGAAAGTCAGGCTCTGTGCAGTCTGTTCGGCCTGGTGTCGGTGTGCATGAGAGAGGACAGGTTACATACATTCCTGCGTCCACTTTTGGAACTGTAAGTGCATGTCCTTCAGCGGGAACTGGTGCAGATTTCCCAGAATTGGCAATGTACGAGGTCCTTGGGTAATAACCATCAGCATGGCACCAAATACATTGCCATGGCGGCTGTATATATACGACGCCTGGAACAAAACCAGAGAAATGAATGGTACTTACCTGGGGGAAAGTCTTTGGGCCTCATTCCCACTCGGCATAATTTGAGGGCGCCAAAGACCACGACGGTCAAAGCCAATCCGTATAGAATGAATGGTGGAATGCTCGGTCCAGCCATGGTAGAGAGTCTCCAGCCAATATCACTCGCTCGAAAGGTAACAAGTCTTGAGGGGCCGGAGTTAGAGTCACCAAATATTGTCTTTCATATATTGATTTTGACGGCTAGGGTGGTTGTTCATTCATTCCCTATATCAGCCATAATATGGAACAACGCGCCGGCGGCGGCAATCCCCGGATTTTCCCCAGAGTCTCTGCAGTAAGGCCTTACACACCGTAGCTCGACGCTTGATGATGGAGCCAAGTCATTGATTCCCTGACCATGCAAACCGTGACTAAATCAACTCAAATGCAGCTCGGCGCCATCAATCCGTAGTCGGTCACAGCTAAGAGATGCTCTAAGGAACCAGCCGTTTATGCACGAGGTTCTTTAGTCACCGTACAAATTTCCAATGATCTTCCAGAGGCGATGAATCAGGTGTCAGGGAAATGCGTCTGTTATCGGGACTGGATAGTCCCGCTGCTTCTTGGATTATGTGCACCAACCCACTCGGAGTCCCACAGCAACGTCCATTTTTCTTTCGGTTTGCTAGATCCAGGAGCAAGGGAGGGTGTCGCTTTGACTTGATAAAGTGCCGTCGAAGCACTTCTCTGCTGCCGGCGTTTTGCCTGCTTCTTCAGATTGGCAAGTCCGTCAAAGTGTATTTCAATTTTGTTGTCTATTGCAGAAGTTGACAATACTATAGCATTGGCATGCCATCCACCAAGCTCAGTTTGTATCGTCTCCTCTCCCACTCTTTCAGCCGCCCAAAACCTGAGTGTGAGCGCTTGAGTCTCGGGTCAGGGTATTTCGCTAGCACCCTCCAAAGTGTCCATAATGGCCTATTTTTCCTTTGTCAGTACGACACACTGTACCCGGTTCAGGAAATGCTTGTACCATGATGGAGGTGTGGATAATGGTGGCCTATTTTTCGTCAGTGCGAAACAGTTTACCTCTTTTTCAACAGCTTCTCGTACCATGATGGAATTGTGAGCCGTGGTGGCCTATTCTTCGTCAGCGTGGAACAGTTCACCCCTTTCCGACGGCTTCGCGTACAATGATTTAAGTTTGAACCATGGTGCCCTATTCTTCGTCAGCGCAATCCACGTTACCGTTTATCCACCGCCTCGCGTACCGTGATGGCATGGGGACTGTCCGAAAGGTGCCCCCACGGCTTGATGAGGTGGGTGAACATGAGGTATATGAAAATGAGGTATGTGTACGTGTTGCGTAGGATGGGCTGGCGGGGTAGGGAACGTTTGACGGGGCTGGAGGGCTTGAGATGTTGTTCTGGAGGCTGTGCCGTGGTATCTGGTCTTGTCGCGCAAGTTGTCGACGGATCGCGGTGCATGAAGCGAGCTGGAAGCAATAGGTTTAGGAACCGTATCGATCTTCTTAAACTGCGTTGGTGGATTTGTGCAAGCAGTCGATTCGGGCAAGGCGCTGCGCTTCGGTGTGGTCGACAATGCAGTTGCGGTTGGATTAGAGGAGGTAATGGGTTTCGAGGCGCTTGGTGGGCTGTCGTTATCGTCTGCCGGGCGCGAACAGCAAGAACCCATTATGGAGCTTTGATGCTGTGTCTGTGAGTGTCAAGTTTTCAATGGGAGAAACACGACACAACACATATCACGAGAAATAGTTGACAGAGATATGCCTTTGCCTGTTGGTAGAAATTTAAGTCTGAGTGACGGGTGGCAGAAGAGGAAGTAGAACAAGAAGAAGAGAAATGGCACAAGGCAGGAACAACGTATACGTGTCGATGCACCGCTTAGTTACACACAAACTACAAATTGTGTGCATGTAAGTGATAGCATTGAGTCACCCTTTCACCAAACACGCGTTGTTCTAGGCCAAACGCAACCACCCGCGAGGGACGTCAGAAAACATTGGACGGCCGACTAGGCACATTGTGGCAATTTCATGGGGGGAATTAAAAGAGGATGTCTACAAAGGTTGCAGGTCGATATGAGAGCGAAGAGGTATTCTTGCTAGTACCTTGTAAGATGGAACCTCCTTCTGAGGTTGTCGATATCTGCCTTTGGGTATTCAACGACTCGATAAGACGAAGTGACCATCAGATAAACTACAAAGACACAGTGCCTGTCCCCCTTCGGTGCACAGGCCTCACGAGCTCAATGCCTGAAGTCGTCTGTTCGGATAACCTCTGCGTGGAACGTTGGCCAGATTCAGTATCCCGCCGTTGCCGTTTGCGATCGAGTCGAGACGTAGAGTGACTCCTTCTGCGTGCCTTTCCGGTTGGAATTGACAGGATATTTCCACACGCGTGGAAAAGCCGTCGAAAGTTGATCTTCCAGGAGTTGTATCCGGTATAGATGCCCGCTGGCCGCCATTGTAACGGGCCCGATATAGTGGGAAGCAGAGCCTGTAAGGCTTCCCTAGACGCAACGTCGTAGAATCCCGCGTTTAGAGCCTTGCTTGCCACAGTCGCTGTCGCTTGCAAGCAATCGATATCATCGTCCGGTCTCTCACGCCATGATGGAAGGTATCCCGTCGTGATACCAAGATGAAGCTCGTCGTCATGGCCAAGATAGCCGGCAAAGAAATACCTCCGCTTCGCCAACGTCACTTGCGCCTTTAGATGTTCCTCCTGGTCGTCCGATCGCTGGACCCAAAATTCTGGGCATCGAAGTATGGGACTCTGGTAGCAAAGAGACACAAAGTCAATAAATGTGAAAATCGGCCAGCACGTTCTGATTCTGCCGTAGGGCCTTGCCACCCAGATAGCGATGCAGTAAAGAACCAGGACCGCGAACGCGCCGTAGAAGTTCGAAAGTCTGATATTGACCATCAATGCGTCGTTCCCAACCTCACCGTAGACAAAGACGCGTCCAATGATAACGTGGGTGAAGGTGCTCCCGGTAGCAAGGATAACACCCCATGCGATCCGAAAATTGCGGGCCACTAGTGCGTTGGCGATAGTAGAAACGGGGTCGGTTGAGAGATAGTCAAGAAGAACAGATTGTTGGGCCGAAGTTCCTTGCACTGAGGCGGCCATGTTTTGAATCGGTCGCATTGTGCGGTGATATTGGTCGGAGACTATGAATGTCGGTGAGAAGAGACCGAAGAGAAAGACGGGGAGGACGTTGAACACCAAACCTCGCTCAAAAATGCACAAGACTGCATTTTGCCGTCGAAGGTCGTCCGAAAGCCGGCACAATTTGGGTCGAAACGCAATCGGTTGGGAAACGCTCCCCTTGGCCCAATAGACAATAGAACAGATAAATAATGTTATACCTATTAGGAAGACTGGCAGGATGTAAACGTCGGTCAGGTAGAAGTTACCAACCCGAGGTCGTCTGTATTTCGAAGAGAACTCTTGATTCTTCTCTTGATCAAACAATTCGTTTACATCTAGGGCATTGGTTAGGCATGAGTTTCAATAGCATGAAACCACACAGGGATTTACCTTGAACAGAGCCATCCGGAGGAGGGGCGACATGTGATTCGAGCTCGTCTCCATCTTCCAGTGGCGCCACGGGGCTCTGCACTCGAATCCTATTGTATCCCACAGCAGATCCCTCAATCTCCGTAGCTGCGGAGTGTGACTGCTGCGTGGTGGCTCCAAGAACGGAAAGGGGTTCTGGGGCAGTACCGTGGTCGGCTGACGGCACGGTAGCACCATAGGGTTCCAGCGGAGTATAACGAGTCTGTGGAGCCAGGACTGTTCGTAACGAACGCATAGGAAAACTTTCCTCTTCACCATACGTTCGTGGATCACCCTCAGAATCCATTTCAGGTTGAGATTCTGCTGGTTCATTTTCATGAACTTGCAGACCACCATGAGCCATGGCCACTCGAGAATGTCCGCCGGCCAACGTTCCTTCGTTGCGGAAAAATCTGATACCGTGAACGATCAAACCAGTATGCCGTTGTCTCCAGTATCCGAGTCGCAGCGTGCCATATTTTGAGGGCCATTTCTCAAGGACTCGGATGACTTCTATTCTGGCCCGCGTAAGCTCAAGGCCAGTAAATGCGGGAAATATATTCGACCCTTGAACCAAAGAGAGTTGTGATGCAATGGAGCAAGGGCTCCATCGAAGACCAGTCTTATGGCGCTCCAAGTATACAATTAGACACACTACCGAGGCAAACAGAACAAGGTAGATTGAAGCCACAAAAGCACCGGATACCACGGAAACAGTAACCTGCCATCCTTGGATATCTTCCACGGGTTGAAGGAAACTGGACTTGAAAGGGGCCAGAAGCGCATTCGCGGTGAGTGATATCGAAAGAGTGAAGGCCAAGTATTCCTTCCGATGAAACATATACAACAACCGGCCTGGTCCAGGAATGAATCCAGGAAGAGTGCTGAGCTCATCGGAAGTATGAAGAAGGTTGTGGCCTTCTGGCTGATGGTCCGTGCTCACATTGGCCATTTTGACATATGGCATGATACGATAGTACTGCTGCACAATGGATCTGAATGCCAGGACCGTCACCGAGGCAATGACATTGGGAAGATAGATCCAGAGGTTATAGCTCGTTTGTGATTGGAAGCGGAGCCAACGCGGTTGTTTGCGCCCAACCACGACCAAACCAGTAACAGCAGCAAGGCAAAGGAAGAACCAAAGTGCAGCGACTGTCAAGAACCCCGTACCAAGGACAAAAGGTTTGAAATTTGGTTCCTCATAGCCATCAATTCCGTCAACATTAATGGGCGTGTATCGATCGTCCCCGGCATCCAGCGAAGAATGGGCGATGGAGGCGTCGTCACTGGCTGCATATGTTTCTGCGACACGATCACGACCTCGATCCATACCTGGATGAGCAAGATTGGGCGTGGACTCGTGGTAGCTCATGGTGACTCGACTATCTCTGAGATCCGGTGTTGGAGTTCTGTGGTTCACGTGGTGTAGATTCTTAGCATCATCTGTTGTGGTATTCGTCGAGACAAGAGCCTGTAAATGATCAAGAAAATAGCATGATCAAAGACTGGTTGTTCGAGAAGTAGAACAAGTTACTAACAACCTTGAGGATATCCTAGAATGTTATTTGATGCTAGAGTCACAGAGCTGAGAGCTCGAGAAGGACTCTTTAAACGACCAAGAGCTTCTTTTCTGCAGCCTTACTTTGTGTATGAGATGGCATGTTCGCCCACCAATTGACAGCTGCAAATGGATGTTGTTTCACAACGGACCAAAGGCTAGTTTATTCGCCTGCAGTAGTGGGAATTGGGGCCATCGTTGGCAACTTGATAAGGCTGAGCTAAAGAACATTGCTGTTCCCAGCCTCACTCCGTGTCGCCGGCCACTGGACTCCAAGAACGCTTCTGGAAACATAAAGCGACGATCCTTTCTTTTCAGAAACCCCTCATCTTCAGGTGTGATAATCTGTCCACATCGTGCAGGGGGGTTGTGTCTTGGACAAAGCCGCAGCCTTAGTGTGTAGGAGTGAGCCTGTTGAGTTGCAGAAATCGATGAGTGTGCCGTCTAGGCTGAGAGGACCATAGGTAGGCATGACAGTTAAGGCACCGAGTCGGGACTATGGCCCAATCATCAAGACCAAGTAAAGGCCAGTGTGATTGTAAGTTGCATTGTGCTGCAACCGAAGTGCATGAGTCCAATAAGGCACTGTGTGGCTGAACAGGGGTTGATTGCTGTGTAACGGAGCGGTAAGGTATTCGGCAACTATGTGAGGGGGTGTTGCTTGCCAGGGCGCTAATGGCTCAACAGTGGTAACGGCACGTGATAGCACTCTTGGAATGACATAATCCAGGGTTAAGAGGTGTGACTAATGGGAGAGTAGAGTTGCCAAGGCAATGTAATGACGGTCACGCTATGGCCTCAGTCGCCTTTACGATTCTCGACCCCCCATTGGGCCCGTAGTACATTATCCCTGGATCGAAACCTCAGCGCCATGGCTGTACCTGGTACAATGCCATTTCCTTCTTTTACAGATGCCACGCTACCTCTGAGCCGGCTATATGAGGTGTATCCATCGCTCTTAAACTCGCTGTCGGCCATTCCCAGTCCCATGAGAGTGATACATACAATCAGATCAACCTCTCTAATTGAAGGACCATCAGCAGTCTCGACTCCATGGACTTCTGCGCGACACGTTCCCGTCAAACAGACACACCGCGGACACCAAAGAGCCCCCATGACAACAAACTCCATTCTTTAGCTGCAGTTGACGCCAAAGACCCCCCTTTGGCTGTCTCTCCGGGCCGTCTGCGAAAACGAGAGTCTGACCGACGAAGCCAGCGGCAGGCCCGCGAACGCACCAAGACGCACATCGCTCATCTGGAGGCCATAGTGGAAGAATTCCGACGAAGAGATGCCAGCGGTCAAGTCGCCGTGCTGATGAAGAAATTGACGGAGCTGGAGCGTGAAAGAGATGCCATGGTCAAGAACTTCCATGACATATGGAGCGTGGTGAAACCGTACTACCGCAAGTGGACAGCCGTTGATCTAGTACCGGACTGTGGTATTCGAGGAGGAGTAGTAGCGACGAGCGCGGCACAGGGAACTCAAGATGAGGGTTGTCGAGCAGCAACAGCAGACGGTGGTGACAGTCTTGTTGTCCAAGACACATATAGTTTTGATGACGGCACTACTACATCATTGCCGCCACCAATGAGTTCGGAGGAAGCCAGGGTCAATGTCGCCGAGAGTGAGGCTCTGCCCAATAGCCTGACTACTCCTCGGCTCCCTTCCAACACAATCAAAACCCCTGGGCCTGTTGTCTTTTTGGGACCCGAGCGTGTCAAAGTGTCTTCTCCTGCGCCGACCCCACGAGATTGTGGCGGCCGCGATCCTGTGAAAAAGGTCTATGTCAACTTCAGTCTTTCCAACTACGCCCCGGGCTGGGCCTATACCTCCCAACGATGCTCCTGTTGCCATGAGACGTGCACGCCGCTGTCACGAGGCAGGGAAGATGGCTCTATGTGGAGAGGCAACCAGTGGACATTTGCTAACGAAGTGCTCGGTGAGCGCCTGTCATGGGCAGAAGGGGAGAAACAGCCCGCCACAGACATCGAGTCGGACGACGTGCCCATCCGCGCCCTGCTCGAGGGATGGTCCTCGGTGGCGCAGCGCGGGCGGTTGCATCCCTCGTGGCAGATCCTGCGACATATCGACGAGACCCTCTTTAGTATGTGTCCGAATGTCGAACGGCTAGCCATTCTCCGCGCGATGCACACCCTCCTCCAATTCCACACCGAACCGACACACGGGCGCTATACTCGTCTGCCGCCATGGTACAGCACGAGACGACAGTGGCAACAGACCCGGAGCTATGCGATCGACTATTTCGCATGGCCCTCCCTGCGCGATCGCTTCATCCAGAACGAGCACCGATACTGTGGCAACGAGTTCTGGTCCCTATTTTGCAGCAGCCTCAAGATCCTCTGGCCGTATCAATTCCGTGATTGCTATGTCCAGGAAGAAGCCACTGGGCTATACAAGGTCTCCCCACTGTTTGACCAGAGGCTACTTGATCTCAATTGCTGGACCATGGGGCCCGACATCTTTCACCGATTCCCAGAGCTGTCTAGCGACATACCGGCTTTCAGTCCAACGCCGCACAGTTTGTCACAACCCGCTTCTGCGGGAGCAACAGGACTCGGAGCGAGGCGGGTCGGGGTGTCTGCTTTGGATACCACTGGTACTTCTTCTTCTCTGAGCGAGATCGCGCCGACAGGTCAAGCTGGTTGCGCCGACCCAAACCACAAGAAGGGCAACAAGTATCATGACAAACTTTCAACGACGATAACAGCTACCGTCCTCCCTAAGGATACTGCTGTGCATTATCCTCTAGAGATAACCCCGCCGGAAGCCTCACTTCAGAACTCCTTAGAAGGCCTATCATCATCGTCCCATCAATATAATATCGGCGACTTGAGCCAAGCCATGGCAGTTGATGCGTTCATTAACGGCATTATCGACGAGGCGGATCTGGAGACCATCTGGCCCTCAGGTAACCTGTGTGGCTAATTTCATAAAGCACAAGATCAACGCAATTATGTGGCAGTTGAAAGGCGTCTCCGTCCCCTTTTTAAGGCCGCAAGGCTGAGTCACGTGGTATGTTTACCGAATTCGACTGTCGCTTGACCTTCCCTTGAAAGAACCTCAGCATCTTGGCCCACTACTAGTACCGAGTACGGCGAGCGCATCTTGAAACTCCACTTGGGGGTTTCTTCGCCATGTTGAGAAACAGTCACAGCAGTCCTCCTGATGAATAAATACACCTCCCAAACTCGGTCCAATAAATGCTATGAAGAGCCTGTTGGAAATTCTTCGCGAGCAGTCAGTACTACGACGTTCAATCAGTGAAATCTACTTACATACCCTCTCGCAGCTTCCTCGATGTTGAGCACCTCGAAAAGTTTTACCGTTTCTGCGTCCAAGGCTCTTCTCAAACCTTTGGTCATATTTCCCCTCTACTTAGACAGAAGATAATCTGGAATCCAGACCACTGGGAGATTTGCGACATTGAGCGCACCTTGACGCTCCGTGGCACTTCATGCGAGACCCGAAATACCATCATCCTCACCACCCTAGCTCTCCCAGAGAATATGGTAGTTCTCGGAATAAACTCTTTGAGCGAGGACACTTTCGCTGTTTACAACCACGATAAACATGTCGTGATGCAGATCCCGCGAAACGCAGCCCCCTTGTTCGGGGTTTTATGCTATGGAGTACAACTCGTGGCGTATGAACTTTGCCCGAGTGCGACGACCACCCTCTTGACTCCAGACTCGAGGGTATGGGTCTCCCGTCGTTCCATATTGAAGAATTACTGCCCCGGGCTTCTGGACGTTACTGCCAGCGGTGCTCTCGAAGCGGGCGAGTCTCCGCTCGACGGCATCTTACGTGAGTCCCTAGAAGAGGCGTCTCTGTCAGATACAGTGTTGCACGGCCGGCTCTACCCTTCCGGCGTCCTCAGCTACGTGGGGAGGGGCGGAGGAGAGTATGGCGAAGGCCATGTGTTTGCCCTACCCGAGATCGACTTTTGCTACCACGTCGGCCTCGCCCCAGGAGTGGCCCCGGTCCCGATGGACGGTGAGGTCAAATACTTTGCCCTCCTGACTGTCTCGGAGATCCTAGGCCGACTACGACGGAGTGAGTTCACGCCGTCGGCCACGTGCGTCCTCCTCGACTTCTTCATAAAGCGCGGCATTCTCAGCTTTGAGAACGAGCCCGACTATATCGAGATTGTCACTAGGCTGCATAGAGGGTTACCCTATCCCACGTTATGAAACATTTCTCTACTTATCTCCAGTTGAGCTGAAAAAACCTGCACACATGGCCGTTTTCCTCGTGACAATGGGGAAGAGAAGAGTACATAAAGGCGCTATCTAGGAGAGGCTGTATTTGCCCTGCTCAGCTGTGCTGCTTTGCTTCTCATGCTCCGCAGTTTCCTCACAATTTCAACGCTCTGACTAGCTATTGTAGTCTTGCGTCTATGCATGCAGAGGGATTGCGTATAATACAAGGACCTCCGCTCGGAGTCAGAGCTGGTACTCAGAAGGCGCAGAAGGTATTGTTTCGACCCCTGTAAAAGGGATCTGGTAGGTATCACCTGGGATTCCATCCCTATCTATTTCTCAAATTAAAAAACTCAATCTAGAGATAAAGCCCGGCTTCGTCCCAACACTGCAAGTCGTGAAAATCATCTCATGGGTATCGTTAAAGGAGAAAAAAAAGGTGCAGAAACATAAGGCCGTGTCGAGTTTCCCATCCGGTACAATGCAATAGCAGTCCATGCTGCCCGTATGGCAAGTCACATAACCAAACCATTCCCATGTCTGAAAATAGCCACCTCAGGCTGTGCTCAAATAATGCACCCAGATAAGAGCTCCTGTCCATATCCGAATTCACGCCGTCTAGGCGTGTTCATGGATGAAGGTGCCCCAAAATGCATCTTCTGTGGTCTCACGTTCTGATTTTGTCGGCCGGGAGCCACTTTCTTTGCCGATCTCACCCCCCTCTCCATCGCTCAATATTTCTGCATTGGCCAAAGACCTTCCTTTGCCCTTGCCCTTCTCCCTGGCCTTCTCTTCCGAGCTGTCCTCTCGTTTCCGCTTCTTCACCATCAACTTCAGTTCTAGTGGAATCAAACCTCTGCCAGTTCCCGCGGTATCCTTCATATCCAGAGTTTTGCGGCACACAGGACACACGCCTCTGGTCTTACGAGATGTCGGCGCATTTTCTCTTCGTGATTGAATAGACCACTTCAGAGTATCAAGTATGCACCGGTGGCAAAAGACGTGTCCGCAGGCCGTAGAAGTTGCATCGGTGGGTGTGTCCATGCACACAGGGCACTTGTACGCGGTGAGTGCAGTACGGCCGCTTTCTGTTCCAGGGTTCTGAGCCAAGATGGTGTCTTGTCTCTGTTTGGCAAGAGCGGCGGATAGGGTGTCAGCGTCGGTAACGGTTGTCAAATCCACAGATTCGATCAAGGGATCCTCCGTCTCACCACCTGGCGTAGATGGCTGCTGATGCTGAGAAGACCGAGTGGCAGTGCTTCTCAGAGATGAGGAAGGAGGGGACATGGTCACCTGTGGAAGATCTCGGCTTTGGCTTTGTTCCTGCTCCGTACGCCGACGGTGACTGCTTCTAGCTTGGGTGCGCACCCAGTTCTGGTGGTTTTCTCGCTGACGATTTATTGCCTCCTCTTCCAAGACCGACGGTAGCCGTCCGTCGACAAATGGGTGATTTGGGTCCAGACGATTTAGATAAACTCCAGGATTGGCTGGCCAAATTCCCAAGGGTGCAGGGATAATAGGGAGATTGTACTCGAACTCGCCAAGGTTGCTGATGGGCGTGTATCGATAGGCAACGTGAGGATCGTGAGGATGTGTGGTCTGAGGGATGTACTGGCTTTCTATTGAAGGTGCACCGTCTGATCTTCGTGGAGAGGTGTCGGTCTGCGCCGTCGAGTCCGGTAGTTGAACAGGCACCTCACTGTCTGTCTGTATTATTCTGGCTTCTTGGAAGGCTTCTTGCGCGGTTTGGATGGCGCGATTCGCGTTTTCGAGGGCGCGATTCAGATTCACGTCGTAGAAAGTGTCTTGGTGACTTGGTACAGGACGAGGGAGAGTAGCTTGCCTGCGTGAGGCACTATCTGGCATAGCATTGAAGAAGTCGCGGAAGAGCCTGGGCGAAGATCGACGTATAGGCTGTGGGGGGAATTGTCGAGAATGATCGTGTGGTGAATTGCGGACTGGCTGTGGTAGTGGGAGAAGTCTGGGCTGGAGAGAAAAGAAGGTGGGAGGATATGAAGAGCCAGAACTCATGGTTAAACCCAGAAATAAATGGCTCGAACAAGTCTCTTAATACCCTCACAGGTCTGGGGATGTGACCCACAGGACAGATGATGAAGAAATGGTTAATTGATGGCGCAGTTCCAGAGTGGCAAGTCTTTGTCCATCCATCCTGTAATAACATCGCAGCGAATTGTGCCGCGGTTGGTCCTGCCGCTTTATGGAGCGACTTACATAACTACGAAGGTAATGCAGCCTCGTCGAACTCCAGACAAGGCTCGCGCATAATACGGGGTAATCTATGATATATCTCGTTTCATTGCCTCCTACAGCGCCAAGAATCACAAGACCCGGGTTGAGGATTGTTTACAAGTTCATCCTGTGACAAATAATTCCACACTATCTCAAACATACCTTGAGTTTGATTCCACAAGGCTGGTAATAGACCCAATATCAGAGACAAAGGGCAGCCCGAGTAAAACAGGTGTAGGGGCTGACTTGTAAGAAGCGAATGTCGAGACTGGTGGTCACTGATCCTCAGGGACTCATCAGGAACGCGCTTTATGCTGGTAACTCCAGGGCCAAGGTAGAATTAGGTGTTTCGTTGCGCGTGCTAGCCCACTCACCCCCCCATAAAAATAAACAAACTGTACGTGTTCGAATCTCGCTGGGGGCCAAAAGAAAAGCCCTTGCATGGACTTTTCTCACGCACACATACAAAGTCCTTCAGCATATCCGACAAAAACTCTAACCTCGAAGCCCAACCCCCCGGTGGGAGTTGAGGTTCAGGTCGAGGGAAACCCTCCAGTCGTATAGGAGGGTTTTTTCCGCGGTCTCGTCAGGTTCTCTCCGGCCTCAGACAACCCACGCTCAGGGAAGCTGTTTCTGGTCGCGGAACCCCCAGTTACCACACAGGTGATAACGGCTACCTCTCTGGGTAGCTTGCAGGGTCAGGGTAGTTACCTTCTAGGATTCTCGTAACCCCCGAGAGAAACTGTCCCATATCTGGTGGCCACACCCTCACGCCTCGACTAGCTCCTTCATGTGGTTTACTCGGTGTGTACCATCAGGAGGTCGAAACCCGGGATAGATATTGGGAATATTGGAGAGAATTCCGTGCTAATAAAATATATTACCACAACAAAGGCCTCGGCCAAATTGTCTGGGTGGGTCAATCAGGTGTCCAGAATTTTGCTCGACTTGGCGTAGGTTTATGTGTTCTGCCCCGGTATGGTAGGTCTGCCCATTCTCTTCCCCCGGCTTGTCACTTTGTTCGTCTGCCATCTTTCGGTTCTGCTTGTTCCCGAGAATCCCTGGCGATGAAGCCTCAACCAAATGCTTCCCATCCGCAGGAAGGTGCCTGGCGGCGGTCGCAGTGTGCGAGGGTAGGTGGGTGTTCTTTCACCAGCTCGCTCATAATTTCCCATGCGTGGTTCCGCAACCCGAAGAGCTTCGCAACAGGGGATTACAGGGTCCAACGCGGTGCCTTTGATACCACGCCGCCGAGCTACCGTCATGCTGTGTTCCGTGCTCGGCACAAAGGGATATCGGTCGACAGGTAAACTTTCCTTGCTGTGCAACACACCTCGAAACTCCCCGGTAACTTGTCAGTGGCAGGAAATGGTCTATCATTTCCAAAAGATAGTGTCTTCGACCACTACTGGCATCTTGTTCTGCACAACATACAGAGGAGGGAATAAGCATTGAGGTTGGAAGAAAGATTCTCATAATTTCTTGGCCTCGGATGGTGATATCCGAGATCAGCCTCTCAGCCCCTTTTGACTGATAGCCCCCAGATGGATGTCCTATGAGATTACTCAATACTTGATAACACATATTTGGTTGGAAAATCCATAGGAAAACATGGTGCGAGGAAATTTCAGCAACCATTGCACCCGTCTCCGCTTCTGAACGAAGACATGAATCGATATTATACCCGTTCTGCTACCGCCTCAATATATGGTTCCGCCCTTGTTTTGTATCAAGCACTTCCTTGAACCATGATCTAATGTCCTGACCGATATCCCCAATAATATCTGAGACAATCCCGAGCGTCTCGACCTCTGGACCGCTGACGTGTCTGCCTTAGTATCTATTCATAAACCAGCCGTCGCCGGAGCGCTAAAAGACCAAATCGTCCTCGTAATTCCTCGCAAAACAATGAGAACTTTTGTCGTCATCTAATGTGTTGTTGCCCATTCCCGGTACCAATCCAAACAGCCGCTATTCGCCACACTTGCACTTGTCTTGATGTGCATACCACTCAAAATTTGCTTGACGACGCCCTCCACTTTCTTGCCATTTGTTGTGACCGGGATGTCAGGACACTCGTCCACGATCTTCGGGACATGACGCGCACTCAACTCCTTCCGTATCATGGTCTGGATATTTCGTACCAAGTCCTGTGAGAAGGACTGGCCTTTAGCCATTTTGAGAAATAGCACGACAACTTCATCCGTGTCTTGCTCGCGCTTTCGCCCGATACATAGCGCATCTTCCACTTCTGTACTGAAATGCTTGAGAAGGACGTTGTAGATCTCGCTGGAGCCGAAACGGACACCCATTGGATTGAGCACGCCGTCGGATCTGCCCAGCATCCAGATGCCACCTGTCGATGGGTTGAAACGTACAAAATCGCCGTGGTGCCAGATCGGATGGCCTGTTTTGGGATCAGTAAAAACTTCGAAATATGACGACTTGTATCGCTCTTCGCCGCTCGGCCCAGGCGGCCAAAACATGCAAGGTTGGCAAGGGAACGGGACAGTGCAGACGAGCTCTCCTGCTTGGCCCGTCGATGTTATATCTTGGCCATCTGCGGAGAAAGCCCTGATCGCCATACCGAGACCACGACATTGGATTTCGCCAGAGTGCACCGGCAACACTGGACAAGGAGCGCCGAACAGGGAAATTATGTCTGTTCCTCCTGTTATAGAACCAAGAAGTATTCCTGGATGAGGGGCTGGAGGAGATAAATTCTTGTAGACGTATTCGAAAGTACTGGGCGCCAGGGGTGAGCCAGTAGAGAAGATAGACTTCAGAGACTTGAGCGTGGCGCTTTGAGGAGATGCCTCTCTAGGTAGAGTCTGAGACTGTTCCAAGACGGACAGATATTTGGCGGAAGTGCCAAAGTGGTTGATTTCAAGCTCATCAATCAGAAGTGGCATGCTCATCTCCTTGTGCGGATGAAATGGAGAGCCGTCGTACAGCACAATAGTGGCTCCGCTCGCCAAGCCTGATACAAGCCAGTGCCACATCCTAGCATTCATGATGTCAGCGTTTGAAAAAAGGGGGCCCGTGGACGGTGGAGAGTGTCGAAAAAGCTTCAGCGATTCATGGCCAGCGCCCGAGGGAAAACTCACATCCAGGTCACCGTAGAAAAGTAGAACACCTTCTCGAGTGGTTTGACATCACAATGGATCTGGTGTTCCTTCTTGTGTTGCAGTAGAGTCCCCAGTGATGCATGGACAATCGGCTTGGGGACACCAGTGGTGCCGGAGGAGTACAGGATGTAAACAGGATGATCCGGAGAAAGGTAAGTAAAGCGGAGTGGCCGTGATGCATCACCCTTGGCCCGGAAGGAGGAATATGTTTCGACGACCTTGTCTGGGTTTCCGTTTATAGACGAGATGTCAAATGGGTGGCCGGGAACGGTTTCGAAAATAACCATGTTCTTAACTGACGGTAACTCTGAAATGACCTGCGATACTTTGGCATGTGTTTCATGGATCTTTCCGTTGTACGTGACCGCATTGTCGGCAAACAGAATCACTGGTTCAATTTGGCGGAGTCTGTCGAGAACGGCGTGTACGCCTGTGTCTGGACTGACGCCCGACCATATTGCACCCAGAGAGGTCGCCGCTAGCATAGCGACCACCGAGTTGGAGTGGTTGGCAAGATAGCCTGCAACTCTGTCTCCCTTTTTGAGGCCATGTCTCTCCATTGCCGCAGCACACTTGCGCACCCGTTCTCGCAGCTCCGACCATGTCACCCGCTCACGCGTGTTCTCTGTGGCCGCGATAATAGCAAGAGCATCATCAGGGGGGTTCGAGCGAGGGAACAGCAGGTTCTCAGCGAAGTTCAATTCGCAACCAGGGAAGAAGGCAGGCTTGGGAAACATTGGAGCCGATTCATCCAGCACCTGGTACACATGTTAGCTGGCGTCAATTTTTCTGTGTTGCCAGGGCTCAACCTACAGAGTCATACTGCTTGTTGGCCTTGATACCTGTGTAATGCCAGATCTCCTCCCAAAAAGCACTGGGGTGGTCGACACTCCATCGCCAAATGTCATTGTAAGAGGCTGTAGATACGCCGAATTTGTTTGCGACATGCTGCTGAAAAGCGTAAAATTCTGTCGATCCGGGACGAGGGTGTCTCCAGAGTTCTACGCTGTCCTTGGACTCACCCTTTGTCCCGTTTGCAGCCATTCCAGGCAAATTTAGTGAGAGGAAAGAAAAATGTTGTGAATAGTCGTTGAAAAGGGACTAGCCTGCGATTTTGTTTGGGGGAATGAGTGGCCGCCAAAACTCCGATTTGTTACGAGCCTCGGCGGGCAGCGACAATCTGACCGTTGCCGCCGTTGACGGAATTCTGCCCGACGATTAGGATTCATTCCGACCAGCGTTACTTTGCTTGTGCGGCCGTTTTGATAAGCAGCCCTGTCTACTGAAAGACAAGGTCGAATGAAAGATGGGAAAGAAGTGTGTTACGAGGTAAGTGATTTCCAAGACACGGAGTTCGAGCTAGAGTGTCGTGCACGATTTAGCCCATCCTCTTAAGAAGAACCATGGGCAGTAACTCGTAGCTTGGGACCCTTCCCCCGTCCACGTTGATATCATGTCGGGAACTCGCCCATCATTACTCGGAGCTCGAGAGGAAACCAAACACAAGAGCAAATATCCGTCTAAAATGATCAGTCACGGACAATATTTCTGCATGATGATGCCAAGTTGCCATATCAGGATTAGCGTGTATCCGCTAGAGTCATTCAGCCAATGAGGCCCGGGTGCAATCTACCTGCAAATTCTACCAGATTT